TTCAATCAGTCAGTCAGCCAGTTACAACGTAGGACCAGGCACATATATGCATCGGTTCAAGTTTCCATAGCTCATTAACACAACAAGATGAACACCAAATTCATAAAAGTAGTTAATTCAGTGGTGGTAATATATAAAAGAAAGATTGCATATAAGGATATAGTACAGGAAGAAAGAATTAGTTCGTAGAAAGAAAGATATGAAGCGATTTTAATCTCTTAGTTTAAGGGAAGACAGGGAGTGTATACACCTACGCCATTGTGATCGATTCTGAGCTATGTCATCAAGAGTCTCCAACCATCGGTTACGATAGTCACGCGGACCCCAACCAAGTAGTCTGCATCTACCAACATGGCTAAGATCAGATGTTAGTGACTTCAAGCACTGATGCCACGTTTTGGTTTGGCCGCCTTTAACTTTCTTCCAACCATCTCCAACACCGGTTAGCATTGCACGTCATGGTGATCGATGATCAGGCATACGCAACACGTGGCCTAACGATCTCACTCGATGAAGATTCACAACCTCATCAACTGATTTAACATCATTCCCTAATACTCTGCGTCTAAATTTACTATTATTATTACTTGACAATTACTAACTCTTATTTTATTGAATTTATATATGAACACTTGGTATTCTTAGCTCATACATCTACCAAAGCTCATATAGATTAACTGTCATAATCAAAATTTTAATATCATTCATTCACTTTTACATAACGATATGGTTATAAAATATTCATGGACTTTATTATGTACATTTATACAGGTGAATACTATCTGGAATATAGAAATTATCTGTATGATAAAATAATTGTGTATTTTGTCAACAAAAAAAGGAAAAGAGACATGATGTAGTCAATTAGACAAGAGCATGAGTAGTATTGTTTTTTTTTCTTTATATAAATAAAACTATGTCAATGCTGTAAAAATATAGAAATCAGTTTTTTTTGTTTTAGTCACCATAGTTAAATATACGTTATCACGTTTGCTCTATGCTTCATTAATTACGATTATTCTCTTTATTACTTATATCATTCATAATTTTGATTTATATCAAGGAAGATTTATTGTTTGAATGTACTTTAGATTGAAATTATTATCATACTGTTTACTTTGTAGACATTTAAAATGACATGCGTTCGATGTTATGCTTGAAGATTCTTTCATCAATTCATGCCATGTTCGTACATTACCATTACTGAGGTAGTACAATGAAAGTAACTATGTTAACAAAACAAGGGTCTAAGAAAATGTTTACATGGTGAAATTGACAATAGGACAGTAGAACGAAACGGCCGTCCTGTGCTTCCAGGTTTTTCATGGTGGTCTAGCTTCAACTGAGTCATGATCTTAACCATTGAAATTACTACAATTTCCACAAAAACCCATCTGATATTAAATATTAACTTTATCTAATTGAAATTTCAATTATTATTATTATTATTAATTTTATTAAATATTCTTTTAAATTAGTTCTTAAATCAATGTAATTCATTCCCAGTTTACTGTTTTAAATCCCTAAAACATCGATTTTATTTTTCTAAGATTATTCATATACCACCAGGTTTCTTTTCTAAATAACAATGTTTTATCTACAGTATTATCTTAATGTACTCTTATATATATGTATTTCCTATAACTTTTGTGACGAGTTAAATAAATCTCCCGACTAGACTCTTAGCAACAATTAACCAAATAAACAATGCGCGTATAAATTATTAGCCAAAATATGTTTATATATAAGATTAAAAATATATATAAATTCATTGATATCATTATTTTTTTGTTTATAAGCTATTAAGCCTAACAATGTCAACAAATTTCCGTTTTTTTGCCTCCACTGTAGAGAAAAATCAATACAACCTCAAATGATACTGATATATTCAAAGAATGATATAGTTATTCCTTCTGACAATTAACAATTATATAGCATATATTTATAAATCTCACAAGTTGTAAGCACCTAATGAGAATCAGATGAAATAAAACAAATTCATGCTATTCTGTTAAAATCTTTGTTTTTTTCCCTCTCATCAATATTGTTACATCCCGATGAAAAGAATGAATGGTAACTGTTACAATCTATTTTTGGACTAATACTATACATATATATTTATCGTATAATTTTTAAGTAACTAACCTACTCAAATTCGTGTTTCTCTTCTTATAATCTTTAATTTGATCTATGAACTATTATTATACGATTTACCATCCTTGAGTTATGCCCAGCCTATCAATTACTATCACCAACATTCACAACCATTTTAAGGCTAAATCTTGTACAAATGTTATTTACTATTTTATGGTACGATGTAGTATGTTTGGATTGTATGTAAGCCTTTACTTACTTATGCCTGTTACTCCCAATGGAGCATAGGCCGCTGATCAGCATTCTCCAACCCACTCTGTCCTCCGCCTTCCTTTCCAGTTCTATCCAATTTTCGTTCATTTTCCTCATGTCGGTCTTCCTTACTCGACGTAATGTGTTCTTTGGTCTTCCTCTTCTTCTCTTATGGCCATGAAAATTCCATGTGAGGGCTTGTCTTGTGTCGCAGTTGGATGCTTTCCTCAATGTGTGTCCTATCCACTTCCAACGTTTCTTCCTCCTCTAGGATCCGGTTTGTTCTCTCCATAGTAGGTTGTTGCTGATAATGTCTGGCCAACGGATCCGTATGTAAACCCAGTATGTTTGAAATATATGATTCATGTCGCAGAGGCTGAGATTGGTGTTCTGGATTTAACATGCAGTGCTAGGAGGAAAGAGTGACTGATAAAGACTCTACACTGTTCGTACGCGTTTTATGCGTTATTGGTCCGGTCGATAAACCATTTTTCTCTATTTGGAGGTATCATTACGTTATATATTAATAGGGCACAACACCACGATTTATAGTAAGTATATTTCTGACGTACTGATGCATCCTACCAGTATATGTATTTACGAATAGGGAATAAACAAATAATTATTTACGTACCCATGATTCTAATGCTGAACTTTGAAATATCATATATATCGCATACAATAATCGCATGAAACAATAGAAACCTATTTAGTTATTGGTTTAGTACACCAGCAAATATATTGCATTGTCTTAGTCTAGTTCTCCCATTATCTTTATGATTTAAAAAATAAAATAAAATCGAAAGGAAAGTTAAGCTGAATATCTTCGACTTAATACTTATTGAATAAACAAAAATTTTACATTCGTGTTTGGGTATGCTGTAATGTGAAATTTAAGTAGTATTTTAAATATATTCTTATACATCATATTTAAATCCATGTATTTTATGAAATTACGATATGCAATTAAAATATTCTCAGAAAAATTGCTTTTCCTGAAAATCAGTGATTATGTTTGTTATTAAAATAATCCATACTTTATTCTACAGCTATTGTGTTAATTGCTTTAATGTAAATGTAATAAACCAATTCCCAATCAATCTAAGTTTCCATGTGAATAGACTCATTTATAAGGTTATTGGGGAAAAAATGTCTTTTTTAGTCTCAGTTCATGTCAAATCGATGTACTTTTACTTATATCATCAGCGACATCATAATTTACGAATGACATTTAAGAAGCGCTAAAATAACCTTAGGATGTTCACCTATTTATTACGATTAAATGAGGATTATATATTGGTATAAGGAATATGGATTAGGATCTATAGTCGAACATTAGTGTTAGGATACAGATTTATTGCTTCCATCACGAATTGATATCAGCTATAATGCTAAAGCGGTATTTAACTGAATGAATTTCGCATCAAAATTCAAGACCTTAAATCTGATTGTTTCATCCATAAATTATAGTCTTGCCCTATCAACTGATTTCAAGTACTTTACTTAGATTTTCTCAGGTAAGTTTGAAGCAGTGCCTAGTTAAGAAAATAGTCTAAAATGTTTTTGAATTTTCGAATACAATTCAACGCAAATCTAAAATGATTCAATTTGAAATTTGGGATTATTATCCATCATATCACGTCAATTTTCAGGGAAGTATTCAATAAATGATTTCTTTAAAATTACATTATTTTTTGATAAACATGCGTTTCTAAAGAGGAATTATGTAAATACAAAGATTATTAGGTTGGATAGCAAGGAACATTGAATATTTATTGGCACGATTACTTTCATTAAACACTGAAGGTAGTCAGAAGTAAAATAAGAACAAGGAACTAAATATGATGAACATGATCGTATGAATGTTTTCATAATAAACTGTTCAATTTAATACTCATTTAATTTATGTAATTATTTTGATGTATATAACCTTAATGTTTGTAGATCCTTTTATAAACTGTATCTATCTACATAAAATGAAAGAAAAACATGTTCCAAAAAGTCTCAGAACAAGGGAAAGAAAGATTAAACATTGCAATCACCAAACATCTCCTTGATACAGGACATCAGATAGATACCTTGCAATTCTTTAAGGTGATTAGTAAGCAGCCAAACTCCAGTCTTTTGAAGTTTGCTGAAGCCGTTGCCATCAGGCGTAAAAAAAACTGACCTATGTGTTCCTTGCTTTAGTGACAAATACTCTTTCGCTGCGTTTTTTAAATTTATTTTGTTTCTCTTTAAACTCTTTCTCGCATTTATTACATCATTGAGTTTCATTTTAACCTCCTTCCAAATTAATAATCTTATTTTATCAATTGAGCTCTACTCACCATATTCTTATCAATATTTATTCATTATGTAATCACTTGTTTCTGGCTCTTCGAACTGTTGTCACAATCAATGTCGTAGAATGTTCTTTCACATAAGATATATATTTACAATATTCAGTCTAATAAATTCATTTACACTAATATATCTTCAATATAACTTCCAACTAAACTCTCTCATGTAAGTAATTTAAGCCCATTATGTAATTATGATTTAAAATATCATAGGTTGTAAGCAGCTGACGAGATCTGAATGAAATAAAATGAATTCATGCTATTCTGTTAGAATCTTTACTCTTGCTCTTTTCAGAAGGAAGAACAGTTTTTCAGTATCGATCGTACTAATTGCTTTTTTTGGACAAACAAATAAATTAATTAACCTTTAATAGAATGCTATAAATTTGACATAATTAAAAAAATTAATTAAGACGTTGTACATAGTTTTAGTAAATTGAAATGTATCAGTAAAGAATTAAATGAACACATAGCTTATAATCAAAATGAAAGTAAACTTATCGTTACAATTCATGTATGAAAGTTCAAATGAAAATAGTTCTGAAATAGTGTGGGAAACTTCTTAAAAAGTTAAAACAGTTCAAAAACCGTTCAGCAAGGGCGATTATAACCCTTGTATAGCATCAATGATCACAAAAAATTCAGCGGTAAATGCAAATAAGGTTACTAATTTATTTAATTGAATATGTTTGGGTCTATTTATATTACATAAGGCAACTTTCTGGTTATAAATTAGCCTACTTACATAGTAATCAGTAGCAAAATAATTTACAGATAAAAAATGGGTCGATAACAAGAACAATTTTGAATGGTTAGAAATTAGAGTAGTACTTTGTTTATGTTTCTTCGTGATATATGTGATTTTCAAAGCTTCCTTAGACCTATTGAAATTTCATAGAGTCAGAGGAAAATCCTACATCTTGAATGAATCGCCATAATATTAGACTCGTGTAAGATGAAGATAATATTAAGCGAAAATTTAAACTTCAGGAGCTGGTATTTTGTACAGATAAGTCATCCCACTATTGTCGGCATTACATGTTATTTCTGCTTGCTTATTAGTCGATTTCTGTAAGATCACTCCTTCATCAGTAATATCCGAAATATCACCAATCATTTCGTCAACTCCACCAACCAATGTGAGAGAATCTCGTTTAAAGTGATTTTGTTTTTCACAAGAAAATTCGGAATCGTCTAAATCGAAAACTAGCTTTGGTGTTAAATCACTATTCTTATAACATTCAACTGCAGCTACAGGTATTCTGTGAGTGGCCATACCAAAACTGTCACTTCTTTTATAGCCATGTGATGGCTGTTTTGGATTATATGAATTTGGCTCCACCCAATCATATGAACGATTAGGCATTATTGGTGAGTTTATAGAAGACCTCGTCACAGAGCCCGAATTAACTTGACTATTAAGTAACATCATAGGGGGTACGTGAAGAGGAAATCCATCACACTCCTCGCCAGTGGAATTATGTGTCGAGTGTAGGTCGTGCGTATTCGAACAAAAGTTAGCATCTAGTTTACTGCGTGGATCGTCTAGTGTTGGGATACATCGCATATTAATCAAAACGTTATTTTCACAAGCCATCACACCTTTTCTGAGTTTTTCGCCGATATTCTCACTTTGTTCTTCATGAAGACTGACTTTTGGGAAACTTTCAAACATATGTAGGTTCTTTGGAGATGAATTCGACGTACAGTCACATGTCAAATCAACAACTTTCTGTGCATTCATTGAACAAGAAACTGTATTCAATTTTGTGTCTATTTCTTTTGTTGGACTATACATAATGTGACTAGATCTACTATTCATATCTCTATTCATTTGACAGAGCGATCCTAGATGACCCCTATCTTGTCTATATTCTGACGTATCCCCTCCGCTGCTAGCTCCACTTAAACTTCCACCGCCCACACAGACACCAGAACTATCAAGAATAGTTCCATTTAATAGATTGTTTTTGTATTTTTTTGATGCGTCTCTAGAGTGATATCTCGTAGTACTGTTTCCGCTGTTATTTATCACACCAGTGAAGCTATCGTTGGCTGAACGAAAACTATTGGGAGTTTGTCTTTGTTGTTGACAGATATGATTCAAGTTGTACCTCATAGAACCTGGGTAGCAACTGATCCCACCAGTGTTATTGTTATTTAATTCCTGGGACATACTATTCACTTCAATACCAGATGGTACACCTTCGTCACTACAACCTTCGGCTGTACCGAGAGAACCAAGACCACTAGTATAATCACCGTTACATGGCTGCCCGTCAACATGATGAGTTGTGGACCACATTACACACTGATCCATATTTCCTCCATCATAATATAGAGCTTTAGAATGATGATTTGAATGAATAGATGGATTCGCTGGTGGTGTATTCCAGTTTTCTTGGGAAGTGGGATTATCATAAACCAGTTGATAATTCATCATGGCAGGAGGAGTATTAACTAAAGATAAATTTGTAGAACAGCTGTGTTGAGAAACGTGTTGAACTCTGCCTGATGATGATGATTCTGAACATATGAGATAGGGGTTTGCTGTTGTGTCTATAATCATAGAGCGCTTAATATTATTGTTGATAAATGTACCACTATTTCCACTACCCATACTACTGCAACTACGTCCAGAAACCATATGTGTTCGACTTTCTGGACAAAGTGGGGAGGAACCTACTGCACAGCCCCCTGAAATCAACGGTTCTCCAGAATTTATGTTGCAAATTGTAGATGTTATATTTAATTGTTTGGACTTATCTCCAGTAGACGAAATCATATGAGACGCAGGTAATCGACCATTAAGGATCCTATCATCAATGTCATTTGGCTCATCTGAATCAAATTTACCTGATTTTTCATCCAAATGTCCTTGATAACTTGGAAGAAGTTTGAATTGAATCTTATTTTCAGTTTTTTGTTGTCTTGAATGCCTTTTACGAAGAATAATAACAATAGAACAGCTAATGATTAAAAGAAATATTGCCGAACAACTGATAATAACTAGAATATATGTTACCAGTGGAACAGTTTGTGTATATTGATCTTTCGAATCATTTGATTTGAAAGAATTTTCTGTATTACTTAATGATAATAAAGTATTGAATTGAAGCCATGATCCAGTGTTTGAAGATGCTACTGAACTATCCTACATAAGAAAAAGAAACCAAAAGAGTTTTATCGTTTTATTTAATAAAATCTTAAATTAAATCTACAAATTGATTATATTTTTCGCTCGGAATTCCATAATTAAAATTTACGGCAAGACTATAATTTATGCATGAACCAACCAGATTTAAGATATTGGATCTTGAATTTTGACGCGAAATTCATTTGCTCATTCAGCTGAATACCATTTTAGCATTATAGCTGATATCAATTCGTGATGGAAACAATAAATCTATGTCCTAACACTAATGTTCGACTATAGATCCCAATCCATAATCCTCATATCAATATATGATCCTCATTTAACCGTAGTAAACAGGTGAACATCCTAAGGTTATTTTAGCTCTGCTTAAATGTCAGCCATAAATGTTTTTTTTAAAATATTACTCGATATAAATGAAAGCTTTTAATTGTGTTTGAAATGAACCTTCATTACGCCATTTGTTTATTCTTCAAACAAAAAAACAAATAACCTAAAGTTGAAATCCAGTATTGCAACTATTAATTCTAAATTGTCAGATATAGGTTATTGACCTAGTTCATTGTCGATATTATGACGGAGATATCAGCATAATTATTCACACAGAAGTATTTTTTAAAACCATGTCATAATGTTTGTCAATTAGTTATTAGATTGACTAAAATCAAGAAAGTCAAAATGAATACTCGGGGTTAAACAGATGATTGTCTACATAATTTATTAGGATATTCAGTGCATAATAATAACTAACAGGTAAACATGGATTGTGGTTAGCAGTGGAATCCAGGAGGCGCGTTTCGTCCTATTTGGGACTCATCAACTGGATATACCTGCAAACAAACAATGTAAACATGAATTAAGACTTTGTTCCAATGCACAAGCTAGGAGCTATCTAGACTCAGTAGCTAAGTGGATGGCGTGATGGCGTTTCAAACGGATGGTGCTGGGATCGAGACACGGAGTGAACATCAACCGTAGGACGCAGGTACATCCTGCCGATGAGGGCTAAGCAGGACGAATTGCCCATCATGAATTCTACTCCTAGACATCATCCATCTGTGTTTATAATGCTTATGACTTGAGGCACTACGTATAGGATGCACATATCCCAATAAGAGACTGATCAATGGGAAGATTCAAACATACAATACAAAAAACTCATAATAATAACTGCTTTCTGCTTGCAGATGTTTCGTACAATGAAGAAGTCTATTTTCTTTGACAAATTATTTTAGATATTTAGTGAAGAAAACTTAATGTTTGGAAACACTCGACTACATTTCCTCGATATTCCGCATATAGATTGTCAGCAACATTTCTTTAGCCTAATATGTCTCAACAAATCTGATTTATTTTCTAGCAAAAGTCATGAAATCATCTATTTGAATAAAAGAGGACTTATCGTGCTTATGTTAAACGATCAATGGAAATGATTCTTATCAGAAATCGCTAAACGGTTCATTCTCATGAACATCGATCAACCCTGAATTTCACTACCATATTTGCTAAATTATTTTTCAAAATGTTTGCATATGCGCATTAGTTAACTAAATGAACACAGTATTGTGAAGAAAAGCTTATCTTTAGCATATAGCAAAAAAATCAACATCGAATCAAAATATTTTAGACTTTAAATGCCATTAAAACCTTTTTTGATCGAGATAGTTATACAACATGGTCAATGGATAAGGGTTACGTAATATAGTAACCTGATTGAAGTTTGACAGTCATACCATTGGGGTTCAACTTCCAGAAAAGAAATATAGGTTAGAATCAACAGTAGTTTGACTTCATTTATAAGTCGAGCAGTTCTTTTTAAAGAGAGGGAGAGAGAGTATTTACAGTCTAATGTTTCCATCAGTTAACATACCTAAATTGTTGAAACCGGTTAAATAATTCAATGAATAGATTTACATGGTTTTTATCTATAAGTTTGATTGTATAAGAAGAAATAAGCTTTTTGTTATAATGAAAACTATATGGATCGTAATGTTGATAATTCTATAACAATTACAAATATGACAAATCATTTTCACGGCTTTAAAACATAAAGATAATTGAAATTCCAATATTATTTCAATAAAACCAGCTAAGTAAAACTAAAATTTTATAAGAAACTGGTTTCAGCTTATTCAAGTCCCCTGTAACCATTTGAATTCTGGCAAGAAGCATTTGCGAAAGTGAAATTGTTGTTCTGATTTACCTTTTCCTGTTCGCTTGATCGTAGTATCTTCTCAGATATTTTATCTTTCTTCTGTTTACTGAACCAATATGATGGATTCTGTGGAATTCCAGGATCTTGAACCATTCCTGATTTTCTAATGTACACAAACACGTCATCCATAATAGCTAGTGGCAATGAATGAAACTTTGCTTCTTTTGTGTCGGTTAAGACGGCAGGCCAAATAATTAAGCTATTTATGGGGACAGTTATATTCTGTGCATATTCTCTTTCATCATTCATTGGTTGAATCAACATGGCAGGATCCCAGACATACTTTGATCCATAAGATGATATCCTTAGTTGGTTTTTCGGCACAGTATGTGCACCAATCATGCTACCGTCCGATAAAATAATATTAATAACTAACAAATGAATTGGGCACACAGCAGAAGAAACTGAGGGCCTAACTGTATCCATAATTCTAGGAGTATTTTGATCTGATTGAATTAACTTAAACTTGAAGGATTGTGGATGTCTGATTGTAGATGAGGCGGCTGCTGTAACCAGTTTTACACTTTTTGGACTTCTTCCAATGAGATTAATATTGAGTCGATGAGGATTCGGAAGACTGTAATCCTGAATCGTTGTTGTTCGTATTCCATCATATTTATCGTCAAATAAATGTGAATACTTTTTTCGATATGTATCCTGAGAACTAGAATCAAATAATGAACCTTCGGAGTTGCCGGTCGTCGCTGGATTAAGACTTCCAGATAGCTCTAAGTGTGGGTCCTAAAGTAACATGTATATAAAAGGTTTGGAAACATTGTTAGCGAACGTTTTGTACTACTTATAAGTAGCTTATTTTGGTATAGTAAAAACAAATCAATCTCAATGCAAACTAGTATAAAAAAATTAATTAAAAGGCATTTTATGATTTATACTTATTAAAGACCCACTAATCCTAGGGATAACCATCAAAATATATACTAGCACTATTCTTCTTGGAAATCACACATTTGTTACAAAGAAATAATTTATTTCATTATGGATGTAGATTAAATATATTCTCAACAAAGATAGTAGTTTATTAATAAACCTAATCTGCTTACAAAACCACGTAGTCACTTCTTACTAATAGTTTTTTTCATCCCATGTACTCTGAAAAGTTTGATCCACTACTATAATCTTATAGCTTTCCATTCCGACAAATATATCGACATAAAAAATGTTGTTTTTTTTAAAAAATAAACAAATCAACATTCCGGTCTTTTGTAACCACATAATAGACAAAGGCATTGATTGGCGTACATTAAATAGTACCAATTCCATAATAAATTAATTCAAATCGCCTTTAGTTTATTTTGTAGCAGAAAAGCAGACAAGAAAAATAATCTTGTCTTATAATTAATTCCCAAACAATATTTATACAAATACCCTCATTTACATATATATATATTCTTCGTAGACCCACCGCTTATTTATATAAACAAATATAATGCCTAGACAAAAAATCTAAGAGTACTGAATTACCCTTACTCTATTATTGTAAATATTAATAAGCCTTTTTTCGTGATAATTTAAGTCTAATTACTTTTTAGTTAAGTTTTTTTCCGCTTGTATACATTTTATCTTCCAAATTTTTAATTAAACTAATATTTAATCAGTCACTATACTGTTAATTATGCTAACGTATTCTGTCGTTTAATTGAGACGATAAGATAAATCAAAGAAGAGTTATCCACTAAACGATAGCAGAATCTGAAAGCACAAACAACGTAAGATTTTGGTATAAAGACAGATAATTTTAGCAAAGTGATGTTAGAGGGATAAGAAGATCTTAAAATGACTAAAGTAGTTAAGGATAAACAGACAATATGATAAAATAACGAGAATTTTTAAATCCAAACGTATTTAGCTCTCAGGTAGGAAACAAAGAATATTTTTATAATTTCTTAAATTATAATTTGGATTTTCTATTTAATTTACACATTCTTTTCTCAACTACATTGTTCGTCTTTTCGTAGACAAATTAAATTTTCTAACGTTCTGTGACTCAGTGTAAGCCACTTCTCCAAAGTAAAAGTAAATAAATAAAATTAACCCAAGTTTAAATAGTAAAAAGGAACAAAGTAGAAATATTTAGGATGGTTAATATAAAAAATAACAGATCTGACTTAGTCAGTGTTACATCTTTTTGTTCAAGATGATTTATATGAGACATGATGATGTATCTGTGTGTAATAATGGATGAAAAATGTGACATTTGTAATGTGAAAGTAAAGAGTTGAATTTGTATGAATGATAACAGTGTGTAGTGTGAATAAAATCAGATATGGTAGCTCGCATAGTAAAAACTCTTCTATTCAAGGCAGTAGGATTTAGCAATATATGCAACGCTCTAGCTACTCACTTTCTTTATAGTTGGAAAAATCCTCCCGTATTATTTTGAAATTTTTAAAATCGATTTGATAGTTACAGCATGAACAACTATTGTCAACCTAATTTGAAGTCTTTCAACTTTTACTGAATCATTAGGTGGTTTTCTGAGTAGCTAAGATCTTCTTAAGCTCGGTTCAAGATTTCACAAGATGACTCGCTAGGATAAAAGACCTCACGATCAACACATTCTAATTTATAGACCTAATTCTGTGTTGACATGGAGGGGATCATATCCTTATCTTATTTTTTTTGGTTTCAACTCCACTACTTTCATGAAGTGACTACCAAGAAATGTAATTACAATTGTGAGTACAGGCAGATACGTATGAATATGTATTATGATAGTTTGAATATGAAATCATTAGTTTTCAGCGGTTCTCTAGGTGGCTGAAAGTATCTTCGAACAAATTAAATATCCCTTGAAAAAACAGGAAAATGGATAATAATCTTATTTCTACAGCTAACTAGCTTTAAGGTGGATTTCTCGCACTCGTAATAATAAGCCATATCTAGTGCTGGTAAGCTAGTTTTAAGTATTACATTAGCATAGTGGTAATTATAGTTGGGGATTATGTCACATTATAAAACTACAAAACTGTGGATTTCTCATTTACACCTCCGTAATCTAGTGCCTAAAGCTCCTGAAACTCTTCAGTTTTATCTCGTACGAAACTGAATTTTTTTCCTGATTATAACAAACCATGAATGTTAGCACATATTTTGTCTTGTAAACTGTTGATAAAAAGTCAATAATATTTAGAAAAATATCAAACAATCTTTCATTTTCCGTTAGACCCAAATAGATCAGAATAGAGCTGTGATATTCTGAAATCAAAATGCAGTTAGAAGTTATCACTGTGATCACAGTGAAAAACTCTAGTAGAAAACTAAAACGTCTAATCGACTATGCTTCATATGTAGGTTTTCTGACATATAAAATTTGGAAACTAAGTTATCTTGTCAATTGTGATTAAATCAATAAGTGATACATTATTAATAATTTTATGTTATACATTCAATATCATGAGTGGTATTCATTCCTCTCTGGCTTTAAATCTCGAATACTTTATATTTCCACAAGTTACATCATACAAAATTCATGATTAAAATAATTATACTTACAATGCATTCTGCTTTTAACGCTACAATATCAATATTTTCATTTGTATACACAGAATTTGGTTGACGAACAGTAAGATCGTCAAAATCAACCACATCAATTGAAAGTGTTGCTAATGGTTGAAAATCACCAAGAGTTGCAACTAAACTTAACTCAACTTTTCCTGGCCATCTACCAATTAAATAAGGTCTACCACTGAAATTATCACGATATAAATAAGCAGCAGATGTTGTATCAAAATTAGAAGATGATTGATATGATTTTATCGGTTTAACAATTAAAGCCCAAGAAGGAAGTAATCTTGTAATGTCGAACATTAATTGACCGGAACCATCTTCATTTGTATGAAATTCACTACGTAGTGGTGGAATTGAAAATGATGATGAACTATGCTGTTTGTCAATGAATGAAGAACCTAAATAAATACGTTGACCTGTTCCAGGTTTCATTGTATATATTCTAAATAAACAAAATCATTAGAAAACTTAAAGTAGACAACAAGGATAGAAGATACTTACAAAAAAATCTATTTAGAAAGTATTCTAAATAAATACTCATAGTTTCCTAACATAAATTCAGTTATTGACCGAAATGTTTCAATATTTCACAAAAAATTATGTAACACCATAAATTCCCTTTTATAATATTTCTAAACTTGCTATTTTAACACTTCCTTAATCACATAATTACTTTTTGAACAATCAATGTGTTTCTACCAAACTATTTCATTTGACCTTTACTTATATTTGTCAATAAACACATTTATCAAAGGCTCACTTGTTATGATGGTATTTTAGCTATGCATTTGTGTAACAATACAAATAATAATAATAACCATTTCTTAAATCTGATAAGATTGTTATTAAAATAAGTAAACTGAACAAAATGTTTGACGAAGTAGATTTATGATATGTTACGTAACAGTAATGATAATAAATACTGTAACAAATGTTAAACTAAAGTATACCACTTTTTTTTATTAATGACCTACTTATAGACGTTGTGATTATTTCCAGCATGTCTCTTAATAGTTAGTTGGAAAGATGATTAGATTAACATAGATATTAGTATGCCTGATAAGAATAAGAATATATGTTGGAGAAACTATGTAGCCTATATTTTATTATCGTAGAATTTATTTAAGAATCCAATTGTTGATAAAACATGATATCTTATATTCAGGGCGTTCAATTATTGAAAGTTAGTTCAAGTGGTTAAAAGAAATTGGTCTCGTAGTAAAATTGGATCTTATCATAAACTAATACTATCTAGGAAAACATTGGAAACAAAGAAGCACCATGAAACTGTCTTGTTCTGTAGACTTCATAGCAGTGTACACCTAATATCCCATTAGAAATCTGACCTTTAAACTTCACATCTTGTGTCAGGCTCATTACATTCAGACTCCTAAGTTACCATTCTGTTGCCCAAACTCCCAATTTTAGCCTATTTACCGTATCCTACGATGATCAACAATGACGTTATGTCCAGTCCCATTTCAAATGTGACTAAAGTTTACCGACCACAATGTATCATTAGAACGTTCAGATTTCACGCCAAAGTTCGTTATTGAAATCCATACGAGTAATGCTTATATTAGAACTAAACAGATTAGGTTATTATGTAAAGGATATTACTTGTCAGGTTAGTGGTACATACTTTCTAAGAATTAGTAAACATTTAATCGTGAAAAAAATATAGGGTTTGATAAAACGACATCACTATAAGACTCGTATACACAAACTAAGTGAGTTACACAAATGATCTTTTCATTTTTCTAAATAAAATCATTGATAAGAATTTATAATATACTTTGAATCTATTCTATTAACTCTTATTTGTAATAAACAAAAAGAAGTATTAATAATACAAACTACTAAGCAGAAAACACTTACCATATTGCGACAAAAGTATGTAGACGTGTAAATAAATAAACAATAGGATACTTATTTACCAAATAAATGTGATGAATGAATAATGTCTACAATTAGACTGTAAGTTACAAAAATTAATCACTAGCCATACTGATATATATATATATATATATATATATATATATATATACAGTTTATCAATGGATACTAAACATGAATTAACCTGTAATTTGTATATACAAATGTTTATGACATTGTTTCATTCTTACAATAGTAACAATGAGAATAGTTTGTTTTTTTTGTTTAAAAAGGAATTAGTTACTGTTGTTAACACAAATATTATGAATAGATGGAATAATTTATAGAATATTATGTATATTGTCTTATTAATAATAAGAAGTGTTTAAGTAAGAAAAAAGTTTTTATGAAGAAGCAACTGTTGAAAACAAAACAATTGCTGACCACATTTGACTTGACAACTTGAAATAAAATTTCGTATTATTTCAGGGTAGTTAACAATTGAAAACTTTATACATATATAAGTTATAGTAGGTGACAAATGTGTAGTAGATTTAAACAAAGAGCTGAAAATGCACTCTACGTATGAATGACTTAACTAAGCAAATGTATTTTTTTAAGTTTTTGATTTATCATATATATAAAAGACTTCATGTTATACTGTAGTATGTGCTACTGATGTTGACAAATATAAGTAGTATATATCATTATTCGAAAGTGAAATTCCTGGATGCAGAAGGCTAAGAAGATCAAAGAAAAGAGAACGAGAACAAAGAATGCTTGGTGTATGGACGGAAGGAAATTGAAGTCTTAGTCGATTGATTGAAATTTTGTAAATGAAGTATTTACTGTATGGTTCTCAGATTTTATTAAACCGTCCTGTAATTCTGTATTCACATACATTTGGTTGTCCCCACTTTTGTGTTCTCGTTCACTATAATACTATAGAATTTTATAGAACTGTTGATAACAATCTTATTGTTATTCATTTTAATTGAAACACTATTTATTGATCTGTAGTTTATAAAACTGAAACTTATATGAGACAAATTCTAAGTGTTTTGTATATTTCTACTTAATAATATTTTGACATTTCCCAAACTTAAATACATCATTCTTCCAAACTGAATGTAAAGAACAACCTCTACTATAGAATACTAATGTTGATATAAGATAATTATGACGTGGTAATTGTTGGATTTGAAATAATCATTGTGCGTACAAACGTTTCATAATATAAACATAAATTGTCTACGTCTATTATACATTATGGTATTTTAATGGAAAATAAAGGACTAATACAAACACCTTAATAAGAGAATGAAAATTGTATAAATAATAAATTAAAATATCATTTAACAAATAGCTTATTGTTCCGTTGTACGATTTAAACTTGGATTAATTTTAATTTGCGTTTTTATTCTCTGAAGAAGGGGCTTACACCAAGTTGCAAAACGTCAGAAAATCTAATTTTTCTACTCACTGAGATATTGCAAAAATATTATTTATTTACAACAATCTACCCAATGCTCAATTTATTCGAAATGATCAAATCAAACTTTGGTAATGATACCTATAAAATATCATTTATAAATTTTTTTGACTTACCTTGCTGTAACTGTAATCATAGTTTGTTCATAACGATCCATTCCAGAAAACGATCTGTTTAAGTATCAATTTGGTATAGTTAAAAATAAAATCAGAAATAGTTTATCATTAAGTAACTTTGTTGAAAAATAATCTTACTTAAGTGTATTTCTAAGCCTTTATATTTATTGAGTAGTTAGTGTTGTCAATCATTACCAAGTTTTATACGAATTGTAAATTCTTTCCACTTTAATTTGGTCAAACTGAACTAGTCAGTAAATTAATGACAAATGTTGATGTTTTATTCAAGACGAGATGGAAATGAATAGTTGTTTTATACTTACTTAATAAATATATTTACTGAAAACGATATTAGCGTGAATAAAAAACTTGAAGTATTTGAGACAGTTGGTTTTTGTCGTTTGTTATTTAAATATGTCCAAGCACATTATTGAGCAGCAATTATATGATGCATACCCATACATCGTCTTAAAAATTCTAAATTTCCTTAAACATTATATTTAGACAAATGAAATACCTACAACTAATGACCTGATTGACATTTAAAACCTCTGAAAATCTTATTTTATTTTGCAAAATTAAATCTATGATTTATAATAAATGAAAAATTAAGTGATAAGAGTGAAGGACTGTTTCAATTCGCTATGTAATAAATAAACTTTAAAATGTTGTCTCGCAACCTTATTCATGATCATTTGTTACATAACACTCGATAACTTTTTAAAAATATGCTCAACCATAATCAAAACATCCTTTATAAAAGATTCAACTTTATAATAAAAATTATCAAATCCAAACCATGTGACATTGTGAATTGACTAGAGTTAAAAGTTTGGACTATCGCATCCCAACTAAATAATTTGAATGTTATGCACTCACGTTTAACTACAATATCTTGTATTCTATCATCAGCGAGGCTGTGAGTTTCAAACTAGAACGAAACAGCTATTCACTACTTTCTAGTTTTCCCTGGTTCTTCAGAGCGATATAATTTCGTACCAACGATAACTATCACATCAATTAATTCACCAGAATAATATCAAAAAATAATAAAATAAACAGAATTACATAATTGGTACTATGGATTTCGGCTACAACTCTTATTGAGATGTAGCATAAACTGTATGTTTTAAAAACTACAAATTTATAGGAACATAACTGATTGGTATGTGGATTCCGCGTATATTATCAATTTATTGATTAAATATCAAGATCTAACTTCTAATCTATGCTATCTGTTTTTGCCTGCCGAAAATTATGCGCAGTTACAATCTTAAACTACTTTTTATCACTAATGACATTGGTTAAACTAATGAATATTATAAAAGTTATCAGCCCTTAATAAGAAAAAATCTTGTATTCATTTCTATATTCTAGTTCTATTAAGACACTGAGCTGGATAAATTAATAATATAATTAAATTGAAGGTATACAAACTAAAATTTTATGTTTATATCCTAATTCACCCCCCTCTCTCTCTCTCTTTCCCAATTCACAAATATTCATGAACTACATAAATTTGAGATGAAAGCGTCAATTTTTTTTAAAAATGCGAAACACTTTTCTAAAATGATAAAATAGAAACATTTAAAATATTCTAAAAAGTCAAACTGTTAACAACGAATTAAAAAAAAATTGAAAGTAGAATAAAAACAGATTGGAATGTTAAATACAAATAACGGAAATAAGAAACAAACATATTACATTATATAATATCTATAATGCAATGTATAAACTGTTAGAAGTTTTCAATAATTTCATTCATTCACTTTATTTTAAGTCAACAGTTTAGTTCATATCTATAAATTGACTTTTATTCTTATTGAATTTCACCAGAAAAAAAATCCTTGTTTAATTTGATGAGTATTTGATTATTACCTCATAAACAAGTATTATGATAGAAAATGGTTGCCAAGATAAATTACAGTGAGAACTGATTTATATCTTTAACTAAAATTCATTAAATAATTATATGTAATTAATGATATTTCTCTACTGTAAATATCTATTTATTTAACCTGCAAACTTTTCAATAATTTTACCCAAGAGATAGTCTTGGATTCAAATACCGTTATCTTTTCCAAGTTTATTCTTATAAATCAAGAAATTATCGATATTCATTTATATTGACAAAACAACATTCTCATTAAATATGATGATGAAAATTGTCAACAAAACAGTTTCTCAATATTTTATCGAATTTATAGACAAGGTTAAACTTCTTTTTTCCCATTTGCCTTGAAGCATTCTTTTGTTGTTCCACTTAGATAAGTAAAACAAAACAATTTTTTTAAAATTTTGTTTACATTATAACTACTTATTTGGATTTATTAGTGTTAAGAATTGTACTGTTTTATTTATTTCTGTGTAAAAAAATTTTTTTTTGTTTTTTAAGTAGTTACTCACAAAACAATAATAAATTCGATAGTTAAATGTATGTTGGCGTATTTATTTAAATAATTAACATCAAGTTGATCTTATTAACTAAATAATGTGTTATAAGTCAACTAATAGTAACTAATTATCCATGAACTAGATCATTTGTGTAAAATAATGCAGGATTACTAAAGAAGTGAATTAAGTAAAGTAGGAAAAAAAACAGCGACAATATGAAGTTCTAGTTCCTTAACTAAGTAAACCGGAAAAGAAATAACTACTATCTATTTAGAAGTTTTCATAAACCAATTAAAGCATTATTATTATTGTTGTTGTTGTTATCGTCCTCATCTTATTTGTCGTTGAAGTTGTTTCATTATGAATATACCTTATAGAAATTGTTTTTAGACTCTGAATAAAGAGGATAGAAATGGTGAATAAATCGGTCTGCACTATGTTGAAGGGAATATTTTTTACAAAGCTCTGTGTTATATATGTCTTAATCAATGTTTGTTACATTATTTGTCAAGAACAATGCAAATATACGTGTAGTTTCTTAAATTATTACTTAGAATGTAGTATTTTATTCAGTAGTATTGTTATGATGAGTTAAAATGAAATTAATGAAATATTTAAGGCTAACTGACAATGTAAAACATTCGTAAGTTATATAATCAGTTCCTTAAAAATGTTAAGAACCAAAAAAATAGACTACATTGCATGAATTAATGTTTTTTTTCCAAATTCCCTGTTTGAGGAATGAGAATAACCTATCAGTTTCATTTTAATGTGAGGTAACTTAACAGACGTATTTATGGATAATTTCTATATTAACTGTTTATTTATTGTCAGACAATATCATGAGTTTACTCACAAATGATAACAAACTCCAATCAATCAGCTAGTATTGTGAGTGCTTATCTAAGTGCCCTGATATCAAAGAGTTATGAATAGTATAAACCCATGAACTTAAGTTTCAGGTTAGTTAGTGTTTCAAGAATGATTTATGTGTAATCCACAGAGAATGATTCAGTGATAACTTAAATGATTTGAGGCAGTTTTTAACCTTAAACCTTAAAAGTGAATGTTAGATGCCCTGTTAAGGTACACATTATTTAGACTTATCGATTTACGTTCATGATGCTGCAAAACATAATTCAATAAGTACAAGTTTGTTCTATGAAATGTTTTTAAATCTAATGATTTAATATCCAAACAGTTTCGCTTAGAAAAGTAAATCCAGCTGACAAGTCCCAAATAGGATGAAACGCGCGTCATGAATTCCACTCCTAGACATCATCCATCTCTGTTTATAATGCTTGTGACTTGAGACAATATCAAGACAATTTTCACAGGATGTACATATGCCAATTTCAGTCTTAAATGTCAATGAGACGATTCAAACAATCAGTAAAAAATGAAATAAAGTATGAAGTCGTTAAGAAAATTCCCGAAAAGAAAGAATACAATATTTATGTAATCGAAAATTAACTATAAAATTCCTGGATATATTGACAATATACAACACGTAGAATTCGAAAATCTATAAATGTAAACAGTTATTGATACGTTTTTAATGTGTTAATTACCAGCTTACTAATTGTAAACTAAACCACTATTCTCATTGATTACACTATTCATTCATACCAAATTTTACAGATAGTACATTAATTTTTTTACTTAACATGCTGAACGACATTAAACAGTGTAATTAATTTAGCCCTGTCATTTTAAAAGTAAACACAATGAAAATATTTAAAAACAAAAGACCACCTACTATTTGCATTAATAATTAAACGATGCTTCTACTTAACCTATGAAACGACTAATAGATTTATGATATGAAAGTTAATACACCCTAAAATTTTAATTTATAACAGAATACAGCATAAATTGTCGTTATATAGAAACACTGTAATTAACATTGATTAAATTTATTTGACATTCATCTTAATTATCATAAATACTAGTACGTTTCCTGCATCAATTATTTATAAAGCTTTACAATGGTTTCACTAAATCAATTAATCAAAATGGTTATGTTTTTAGACTTCCATTCTTTCTTATTTTTATATAGCTTATCTTGAAGTTATGTATATTCACTTAACACTAATAATTTAACTAAGAATCATTCTAGACTGTTGTATGATGAGGTTAGTCAAATTTTCAACTAGAACGCTGTTAGTAATGTGCAAACAACTACATGAACACTTAATGTTTATATTATTTCAAATATTTGAATAGCAAAATATATTTTGAACAAGTTTTCAATACATAAATCCAGTAAACTAAAAGAAAAAGAAAAGAAAAATGGAGCAGAACACCTCAATTGAATAACGGTGTGTATTAAGTTATTGATTCGAACAAATTTCAATAGAAACATTGGTCATATGCCTTAACTGGTAGCCTTAAAAGCTCTCATATTATATATATCATTCTCCAAAAATATGTAAATTATTAATCTTCATATGTATGAAGACTTGCGAAGAATTTATTTTTGAATTTATAAATATTTAACATTACACCTACTGATATGGTATGTATAAGTACTTATAATCCTTATTTGTATTTTAATTTACGCATGCTATGGGAGAAGAATGATAAAATAAAAGCTCCATTTTCTTATACTATTATTCCATTTTTATTTCGACGGTCTATTCTTAGATTAGAGGTATGAA